TGGAGACAGGATCTTCCTTCTCTGTTGTCCAGGATGGAGTGCAGTAACGTGATCACAGCTCACTATAGCCTGGACCTCCTGGGCTCAAGCAGTCCCCTTACCTCAGCCTTCTGAATAGCTGGGATCACAGGTGCACACCAGCATGCCCAGCTAACTTTTTAATTTTTTTGTAGAGATGAGGCCTATGTTGCCCAGATTGGTCTTAAACTCCTGTTCTCATGATATTCTCCTGTCTGGGTCTTCCACAGTGCTGGGATTACAGGCCTGAGCCACTGTGCCTGTCCAAAATTCTTAATAGTTATTTTGGAATACTAGAGAATATTATTGTGGCCAAACAGTGCTAAGCTGGAGGACATGTTTCTTTTGGTGCTTTTTTTTCCCAGCTATTGGTCTTGCAGCTCTCATGGTAAATTATACACTATTTGGTCTTCTCACACATGTCTGATGATTCCTGAATCTAATATCTAGTCAGGGCTTTTCTCCTGAAATCCACATCTTTGTGTCCTACTATGACTGGATATATTCACTTAATTGTCTACAAGCATTTCGCATTCAACATGCCCCAGACTTATTTTCGCCCTCTTCAAATCTGTGTCTTTTCTTTTATTCCCTAGCTCAGTGAATTGGTACCACCTTCCATCCATTTTCCCAGTCCAGAAATTTAGGAGTTATCTCTGATTCTTTCTTTATTCTTAGTCCTATTTTCTATACATAATCAAGCCCCTGGGTCAGTCAATTCTTGCACCCCAAGATTTCTCAATTCTGTTTGCCCCATGTGAATCATATGCTACTCTGTTTGCATTAGTCTTAGTTTTAGTTAAATATAGTCAGTGAGCAACAGAAGTCCTTATGGTAAGGCTTCTGTAATCATTTAGTATGAAGTTGATTGAATTTTCTCGGAGAGAGATCCAAGATGGCTGATCACTAGCAGCTCGGGATTGTAGCTCCCACTGAAAGAGCAGAGAACGAGAGGACGCCACACCTTCAGATCAATTTATGTTGCTCACGCACCAGGAGATTCCCAGCGGAGGAGCCCCACGTGTCACCAGTGCGACTCTTGAGGCCGGTGAGGCGGTTTTGCCGCTGCCTTGGAGCTGCGGTTCTTGGTGCAGAGTCAGAAAAGCACCATCAATCTTAAAGCCGCTGTTTTGGCCGGCACAGTGGGTTGCTCAGATTCTAGCGCTAGGAATCAAGTTGGACGTCCATTCAGAAACCCAACTATAAAAACGGTAATTATAAAGACCACAGATGGATAAATTTATAACGAAGGGAAGAAACCAGCCTAAAAAGCCTGAGAATACCCAAGATCGGAATGCCTCTTCCTCTGCAGGGGATCACAGTTCCTCATCAGCAACAGAACAAGGCCTGATGGAGAAAGACTGTGTTCCATTAGCAGAAGCAGGCTTTAAAAAGTGGATGATAAGAAACTTCTGGGAATTAAAAGAACTTGTTCTAACCCAATGCAAAGAAACTAAGAACTTTGAAAAAAGGTTTGACGAAATGTTAACAATAACACAC